ATGACCTTTGACCAAACGATTTAGCCATGTGAGGTACTATATGTTGATTTTTCTGGCGAGTTTCGTAATGGTGAGTAGGTAGCTTTGCCTGATTCCGTGAAGTATGATATTTCAAACCAGTTTTCAGATAGTACAATTGCCTTGCATTATTCTCAGAAATCTTTTTTGAATGGTTTCCAAATGACTTTCTAACAAGGTGTGGTACAAGGTTTTCAGCTGGTCATATTTCAGTATTTTTTCCAAATACTTGAATCTGTATAATATTTTAAATTGTTATTCCTTTATAAATTGCTATTATTTCTGCATCACAAATGTTTATTTGATCGTGTAACATAGCTGAAAATGCAAAATTTATTTGGGGCATGTGTATCCCTATTCCCACTTTGTTTTCGGATTTTGAAGCATCTGTAAATACAAAGTTATATTCTGTTTGGTATTTTTCTGTACCACTCAAGAATTGTTCATTACTGGATGGATCGTATTTGTTTACCTTGATGTCCACTACATCTATTTCCTGAATATAAGTGTCGTATTTATAGCTAAAAGCTGGTATAAGGTTGTTTTTATATATGTTGGCTGTATTTGTTTGACATAGATTTAATGCTTCAATAAGGTATGGTGTCTGTTTATTTTTCCAGAAACCTGTTTGATGTTGGAGTAAATGTTTGATGATAATTAATATCTGAAATAGTGGTGGTTGGTAATCTATTCTTTTCAGTATAAATTTTGTTGCCAACCATTTCCGCCTTGTCTCTAGACATGTTGTACCAGCTTCCGCTAACATAGCATTTACTGGAGTTGATTTCATACACCCTAGGAGAACACGAAGGCCTTGGTTATATGTTTTATCCAGTCTATCCAGATTTTTTTTAACAAGGTTTGTATAACATTGACCCATATTCTAGGTGAGATCTTACTAGACCATTGAATGCTATCATCAGCGTTTTGGGATCCGCACCCCACCGTACTCTACTAAATGTTTTTATGACATTTATACTTTTATTTGCGCGATTAACAGCTATTTCAATATTTTTGTCCCACTTCAAGCTCCCACTATTGTACCTAGGTATTTCACCTCATTTTTTGTTTGTATAGGTTGTTCCCCTATATTAATCCCTAGATTATCTTTAATTTGCCTACCCCTTTTAAAACACATAGCTTCGCATTTTGATGTTGCTAATTCAAAGTCGTGCTCCTTCATCCACAAATCTATTTTAATTAAGATTTGATTGATTGTTTGTACAGTGGAATGAATGTTTTCTCCTTTACATATAAGGACAAGGTCGTCCGCGTAAATTAGTAGTTGGGCCGTATTAGGTACCAACTCAAATAATGAAATCATATAAATGTTAAATAATAGTGGGCTAAGTCGTGAACCCTGTGTGGCGCCTCTTGTGGTAACCATAGGACCATGTATATTATCTTCTTTGTCTACTATATAATTTTCCCTGTTCTGTAGAATTCTAAATATTAAATTGCCTATATCATTCTCCACCCCATAATTTAATAGATATTTATAGAGTATGTATATATTTACGTTGTCGTACGCACTGTTATTGTTACTTTGTTCAAACCTAATACCATTTGGACATAAGACAACAAATAGGCAATACTATCCATCGTTCCCATTCCTTTGCAAAAACCTACTTGGTTTTTGTTAAACATTCGTTGATGTTCAAATTTCCATTCTAGTCTATTTTTTATTAATTTTTCTAAAATTTTTAGTTCACATGATGCCATTGCCAATAGCTGGTAATTGCCTATGTCGGTGTTGTCGTTCCTATTTTGTTTTAAAATTACAAATAATAAAAACTCTTTCCACGAACTCGGCAGGGNGTTTGTTACTATCCTTCTTTCTTCTATATCCTCTGTACTGAAATTTAATCTGTCACTTGATTCATATTGTTACTACTATTATCCTGTTCTACTACCGTTTTTTTAATAGCACCTGTATTTCTATTATTTACAGCACGTTGGAATACTATTCCATTAGTTGGTTGTGAAATTCTACCTTCTTGATTTATTAAAGTGTCATTTAGTGCTTGCCTATCATAACCTTGCCTACTTTCCGTCCGCTTATTATTGTGTTCCGTTCCTATACTCTGAGCAAACGACCTCTTGTTGCTCATATTATTTTTTTCAAAGATTTCCCTACGTTGTTCTACTGAAATTCTGTCATTAATCTGTACATATCTATTTTTTAATGTCGGAAATTCCTGTGGATGTGAATTAAAGGTTCTCGACTGCTTGGGGAAGGATTTTGCTGCTTTATAGAAAGAAGTATTATCAAAGGTCATTTTTTTACGTATTTTTTTTTGCCGTTCATATTCGGCACATTTTTTACTATTCGATTTGTGATCATTACTGTCACAATGTTGACACAATTATTGTATTCCTCTTCTTCTTCATGATGTTTTGTACAAGAAAAGCATTTTTTTTTACCTTTGCAATTCTTCTTTATATGAAGGTAAAGCAGACAGTTGTAGCATTGAGCGATAGATGGCACATATGGAGTTGTTACATAAGTTAAGTAACATATGTCGATATATCGCGGGATTGATATATTGCCTTTGAAGGTTACTAGGATGGTGGACGCTGGTATATATTGGATTGTACCCTCTTGACTAGTCACACGTCTGTTCATTCTTTTCACATTTAGTACTTTAATAGGACTTTCAATCATCTTTTTTATGTCTGTCTCTGAAACATCTGTACTGATTTCTTTAACTACTGCTTTACATGTGAAATAACTATACGGTATTTAACTTTATAACCTTTATTTTTCAATCTGTCATCTTTAATCATCTCGTTTGCACTATTTTTATTGTTGTATTCGATCTCTACTTTATTTTTTCCTTTTATTTTGATTCTGATTATGTTTTTAAGATTTAATTCACAGATCTCTTTAGCAATTTTCAAATGAGAAAATCTTCCTACTCTTCCCCCTAACTTTTCGTTCATTTCTAGCATTACAACATACGGGCCTGCCATGCCATCACTATATGTTATTATCTGCTCATTATCTAACGATTCTTGCTCGTGTAAATCCCTATTCATATCAATATCATTTTGTAAGGTTGATGTAAAGTCCCTGGACGAACCTATTCAAACTATCTCTTTCTGAACTTTCCTGATCTTTTTCCTGATTACTACTAATCCCGTATCCCGTATCCGATTTCTTTTCTAAATGCAGTTTTTTGGGGAAAGATTCCTCTTCCCTTTCCCCTCCTAACATGTTCAAAGTACCTTTATTATATTTTTTGCCTTATATCTATTTTTTTTTTGGTCAACTAATTATAAGAGAAAAAAACAACTTAAATAAAAAAACCCAAAAGAAAGATGTCCCAGGTAGAAGAAAGATAACAAAAAAAGTTACCAGCACACTTTCTCGCAGCACAAAGCAATAAACGATGTTCACTTTTTGTAGGTTACACCGAAATTCCAAAGTGTAAAGTTGTATTAATTTGTTTGGACATTACATTAGTTAAATTCCCTCATAGTTTTAGTGAATAAGCTACCAATAAAAATTTTAATGATTAACGATAGATTCCTACTCTTCCCCCTAACTTTTCGTTCATTTCTAGCATTACAACATACGGGCCTGCCATGCCATCACTATATGTTATTATCTGCTCATTATCTGACGATTCTTGCTCGTGTAAATCCCTATTTATATCAATATCATTTTGTAAGGTTGATGTAAAGTCCCTGGACGAACCTATTCAAACTATCTCTTCCTGAACTTTCCTGATCTTTTTCCTGATTACTACTATTCCCGTATCCCGTATCCAAAGTGTAAAGTTGTATTAATTGGTTTGGACATAACATTAGTTAAATTCCCTCATAGTTTTAGTGAATAAGCTACCAATAAAAATTTGAATGATTAACGATAGCTCCATAACCATAATAGTAATATTTTTCTAACTATAAACTTGGCATACAGAGCCACGTTATAAAATAATTTTGAAAAACAATTCATTACTATTTACCATACTTATTTATTTACATTTACTTTTTTGTTATCTTCAGTTACATGTTAAATCACGTGAATCAATAATAACTATTTTTCTCATAAAACTACCTGAATTCCTGTTCGTGATTCATTTTTTTCTTGCTCTTTCCTATCAATTTCTTGGACCTCTTTTCTATATGCTTCTTCAATTTGTTGGATTTCTTAAGAGTTTCGTACTTGTCAATCAAGTCTTCTAATTTTTTCACAGCTGTAAAAAGAAATTGTATAATGATAAACTAAAATAAGCAGTGACATTTCACACTTACATTTTTTTTTGAAATTCGGTTTTTCACCACTCTTGAGTTTTCTCCTGATTTCCATTTTCTCTTCAACTTTCTTCAATTCCTCGGTTTCAATTTTGTTGTGTTCTCTGAGTTGATTATTCTGAAGAGAAAAAAGTAGTGATTATATTTTTGTGTATGTTTCTGACAGGCATTGATTGATATTTTGATTGCCATACTTGATATTTTGTTAATCAGACTGACACAAAACTTCAAATTTTTAGAAAGGCCAAAAATAATAAGGATTTCGTAAGATTTGTCTTCTGGGACATCGGAGCTACACAAATGCACCACCAAATCGTGTTGAATAATGACTATTAATGGCTACTGATAAATGAGCTAGCATTAAATGTTGGAAAAACTGTATATATGGTGTTAAAGCACAAAAACAAAGTAAATGGGATAATACATTTGTATATAAACAATAACTTACTAAAAGAAGTCAAAGTTCACAAAAAATTATAATAATAATATAATAATTAACTCCAGTGGGCAGAACATATCAACAAAGTGATAATAAAAATNCTAAAAGCTGAGAAAGTATCCAGTATTTAAATATTTATTGAATGAGATATAAAAAGGTGTATTTCCCAACCCAACATTAATATTTCCAAAAATTAATCGCTTGTGCCATTTCTTATCATGGTATAACTGGACCATACTCATTTAAGATTACTTGTAATAGAAATTCTTATTTTAACATGTTGAATGCTCTTCTTTGTGATCATTTTAAATAACTTCCATGTTACTTGAGCAATATGCATTTTAAGCAAGATGAATGCCTGTCCTATTTTTAAGAAAAGTGAAGAAATAACTTGATTTGGAATTTGAACAAAAATATCGCCTCGTTTAGTTTTTATAATTAACTTTCAGTATCTTTATTTTATTGTGTTGACAACTTTATATTGTCTTATAGAAAAAAGTATTATTATGTTGATGCACCTGTATTGTACATGAATCTCATTTATGTTAATCAAACTGTCAAAATTGGAAAATCTTTCAAAATAACACTTTATTGTGAGACTTTCACTAAACAGTTTACAAAACCACAAACAACCGCAAAACGTGTTTTGCTATACAAAAGCTTTTTCAAATGTTTTCACACTGAGTGACTATCAAATTGTTCTATAGCATAACACATGTTACAATTTTGTGAGCTGTTCATGAAGCAACAAAATGGAGTTTTTGAGTAACTCAACTGAACTTTGATGGAAATTGCTGGAAGTATACTGATTCATTCGAATTTAGATAATTGTTATTGGGCTAAACAGTTAATATATCTATGTTTAATAAAATAATTTCTGATGAAAGCATTGTATAAAATAGACTCAAATGCAAAATAACTTACATTTGTTGGTTATTGCGAGAATTCAAAAGGTTAACGTTTCATTAACCCCAAAACTAAAAGAGTAATTGTGATGCACTGTTTGGAACTTTTGGTGTAGTAATGAATATTATTGGAGTTATTTCCCAACACCAAACCGTTATTTTAACACCTCAATACATGTTTTGATCAACAAGTGATCATCTTCAAGAGGAAGATCAAAGTGTTTGATGAGTTTGATCTTCCTCTTGAATATGATCAACCTGTTTGATGAGTTTGATCTTCCTCTTGAAGATGATCACTTGGTGATCGAAACACCTATCAAGGTGTTAAAATAAAGGTTTAGTGTTGGGAAAAACCCCAGTAATATTTAAAAGAGTAATTGTCCAAAGATATGCTGTATTTCTCGACTAAGGTTTTTATCTGCTCTTGTAGCCAAATTGCTCTTATACAAGAATAATATCGGTGGACGTGAGTTTCGCAATTTCCCCAATTTGTCAGCAGTATCCTTCAACAACGACGACTTGCTTGTTTACTGCCAACATTTGGAGAACCTCCACAGTGATTTCGCAGAATGATACCAGGACATTTTAAACTTGGAAATACCGGACTGGGTGTTGGATCCTTTTTGAAATGTCAACACAGCAGGATCACCCCAGCTGGAAAAAGAACTCATAGAACTGATAATGATCGAGGAAATAAAAATAAAATTCAAAAATGGATGCCAATCCCGCAATTGTACCCTGGATTGGAGTTCATCGTTCGATTTTTGATAGCATTCCCATCATCGTATTTGTGTGAACGTGAATTTAGTGCTGTGGCAACGTTGCTAACTAAAAAGACAAATCGGTTGCAGATTACCAAACGGAACCAAGAAATTGATTCTGAAGAATTTCAATTGAAACATAACAACTGAATATATTCAAAACCTTCTGAGGGAAAGAGATTGGTAATTGAATTGTACGTTGACGACTTACTGATTGTCTCAGGTGACAAAAATAGTAGCCTTGTCAAGAAAGTTCAAAATGAAGGATTTAGGAGATGTACATTTTTGTCTTTGCATGAGGATTGAAAGAAATATAAATATAAAGAAATATAAAACTAGCCAGGTACAGTTGTAATACAGAAAAACGTCATTAGGCAAAAAAAAACAATTGATATTTGAAAAGTCAGGAAAACTTTTAAAAATGATTTTGTGATTCTGACTGTGCTGGAGATGCTGACAATCGCAAGTCTACTGTTGGTTATACTTATACTATTTTGACTGAAGAAGCATAATAAGCTGGTCTCCTAAAAAATAGTCAACTAGTACATTCGATTACAGAAGCTATTTTTTGAAAGAGCTTCTTAATTAAGAGAATGGACAAAGTTGAGTATCGAGGCAATACGGCTACGTAAATCAAAGATGAGTTGGATTCTGTGTATGGGGACTCTGTACCACAGTAAAATTTTTGCCAGCTGAATTCAAACTTTACCATAAGAGCTTGGGAGACGAACGTTCGGCAGTCCACAAACTGCAACTACCCGTGAAAACATCGCCAAGTTCACCAATTGTGCTAGACGACCGCAGAATTAAAGTGAAAAAGATAGCAAAGGTTATCAACATGTCAAAAAAACGTGTTTGTCACAAATTGAATCAACATTTGGGCATAAGAAAGTTGTCCACACTCTGGGTGCTGCGTTTGCTCACGTTAGACTAAAAACGTGTTCGAATGGCCATTTCCAACCCTCTGTTGGCGCAGCTTAGGCGTAATAATAAATTCAAGTTTTGGCACCGATTAATTACTGTAGATAAAACTTAGATACACCACTATACGCCCAAAACAAAAAATACTGTCCAAACAGTAGAGTGCAAGTTTTTAAAGTTTCTAAAAATGTGGTTTGCTCAACACTGACAAATAATAATTTATTTTGCAGGTACCTTATATCAAAGGTTATACTCGCAAGATCCCAGTGTGATAAATTGCATTCCTTGCCTTTGTAAAATATTTCATAATAAAACAATTATCTAGAGTATTCTTTCTCAAACTGGGCGATAACGCCCCCTTGTAGGCGCTGGAGGCCTATAGGGGGGCAGTAAAGGGTACAGAGAAGAAATGGGGCGTTGAAGTGGTTTAGGGGGGCGATGGCTGATTTGAAAATGTTTTTTGCTTTTATCACAAACTTTACCGCCCCTTTAAGCTTAACGCACGTTTCCTCGTGTAACACCATCTAGGGGACTAGATCGATAGGGGTCGGTCGGTAGCCAAGCGGTTCGGCGTGGGTGCTTTGTTTACTCACTCGAATTGACTGCCGTGTTGGTCGGTGGTTCAAGCCCTAGTCTGAACGATCGATCTTCACTTGCTATCGTCCAACCCGTGTTAAAAGCCCTAGTCTGAACGATCGATCTTCCCTTGCTATCGTCCAACCCGTGTTACGAATCACACGTTAAAAGGTAAGACCTCGTTAATCCTTAGCTCGCACAAGTTTCGACTCCTGAGGGTTGTCGTTCGTAGGGGTGCGACAGCTGGTTAACGGAAAAACAGATTTTAAACAGATTTTTAAAACAGACAGTAACTATTTCCTGTCCGATAGTTGTCAAACTGTACAATAGATGGCGGTAAACTTCAATACGAAGTGAGAGGTTTCTAGTCTCCAGTCTCGAAAGTACTATGCCCGCCCGCTACCTCATATAAAAGCGCGCGCGCCATCCAGCCAGTAATGTCATTCGACGATATTACGAAAACAAGTGAATTTAGTTAGCGACTAGCTAGGTAAAGTGTTGTACAAGCGGTGAATACTGTGAGTGGTGTCATTAGCAAGTTTTTAATACTCGATTCTTTACTTCGGCATTTTGACGACAAAATTATGTCGGAAGCAAAAATGAAGAAATGGCAGTATAGCGCGGAATATATAAAATATGGATTCATTGAAAATCCCACAAATCCATCTTCGCCTATGTGCCTTCTTTGTCAAAAAACATTTTGGAATGAACCGATGAAACCCTCAAGGCTACAAGATCATTAAAAAACAAACGTGTGACTTATTTTCAAGAACTAGAAAAGAAACACTCGGCTCAGCCAACTGTGTCAAAACTTTTTTCAGCGGCTTCTAAGCAAGACGACGACGGACTCCGAGCTTTCTACAATATCTTCTTGCTAATTGCTCAAACAGGGAAACTTCACATTATTGGAGAGGATTTAATTTTACCGGCAATAAAAGAAGTAATAACTACTGTGCTCCATAAACCAGCGGCACATATTATCCGAAAAATTCCTTTGAGCAATAGTTCCGTGCAAAGACGAATTGATGAAATGGCTGAAAACATTGAAGAGTCATTGTGCAATCATCTGAAGACTTCTAAATTTTCAATTCAGTTAGCTGAATCCACTTTACCAACCAATGAAGCATTGTTGTCATACGTGAGATTTATTAAAAATGAAAAAATATATCAAGAACTACTATTTGCCAGAAATTTAGAGACGGATACCAAAAGAGAAACCATATATAATGCACTGGAAATATTTTGTGATGAGAAAGAAATTCCACTAAAGAATATTATATCAGCTGCTAGGGATGGCGCTCCGGCTAGGACAGGACGTCACAAAGGCTTCATAGCGTGCTTAAAAAATAAAATTCCCGATGTGCTCACTGTACATTGTGTTATTCATAGATAACATTTGGTTGCGAAAAATTTGAGTGAGCGCCTCTCTCAATCACTGCAATATTATTATCAAAGCAGTCAATAAAATCGGAAACAGTTATTTAAATGACAGATTATTCAATCATCTTTGTGTTGCTAATGATGAAGATTTCAACCGATTGCTATTTCACACAGAAGTTCGATGGTTATCAAGAGGTAACTGTCTGACTCGATTTTACAATCTATTTGACTCTGTAATAGAGTTCTTAGAAAACAAAGAATTGCACGACAACCTCATCACTTCAAAGAATGATATTGTGCACTTAACAGAACTGTATAAATTATTTAATGAATAACATGAATAAAAGTTTTCCTGATATTACAAAATGGTGTTTTACATTACCCTCACCAGAAAGTCTTATTTTCACATGACACACATAATTTAATTATTAAAATAATGACTGCGATTGTGATTCTAAAGATGAAGTAAAGTAAAACAATTTGGGGGGCGGTAGAAATAATTAATTCTCGAAGTGGGCGGTAAACAAAATAAGTTTGAGAAACCACTGATCTAGAGTCACTCTTGATAAAGAGATAATAAAGATATCTAGGAAAAACCATTCACAGATTATTGTGATTTTGGGGGTGGTTTATATGCTGTGTGTAGTAATAATCGTTCACTACAAACTGAAAGTTTTTCAATTTGTGAATGTTTTCAGCCTTTATTCGATGAAATGTGCATCGAGGAAAGTATTGCAGTTCTTGTGATCTTTCTTGATATCATTAGTATACTTTATAAGGGTACTTTACAAAAAAGTGGGGTTCTAATCTTTCGGGCACTCGGTATACAATTTTTCTTTACATCCACAAACGTGTTTTGTTAGCAATCAGAAATTTTCATCAAGAATTACTTCTTCGAAAAATGAAATTTTTATCATAGCACGTACTACATATAGATGACGAAAAATTAGCAATATTTTAAACGGGCCTGTATTGGAAAATTATTGATTGATAATGGTACCATTAAACATCTACATACTATTCTCTGTATCAGCAACTGAATCACTTTATTTCGTTCCGGATTGACGCAATTTTTCAACTCTTTCTCCAGTTCCTTTTTCTCGTTCTGGCGGATATCATTAAGGAACTTGTAATTAGCTCTGAACTCCTTTTCATCAAACTGTCCGCAAAGGGGATCAAAACGAGGATCTCTAGGGACGAACTTTTTTGTTGAGGGTGCTTTTTCTTCAGAATGTTTATTGAACTTTTTTGGCCGTACTTTCGAACTAACTTCCCTAGGTCTGTTTTTATTGGCACGCTGAAAGTCGACTTTGGGTTTCGATTTGTGTTCTCCGTAGATGGTTTTATTGTACAACTTCGCGCCCATGTCTTTTTTCATTTTCAGTAGTTCCTCGAAGCTAAGGCTAGAAAGTTTTTCGCGGATCTTGTCTCGCTCTTCTGATGAAATCTCTTCAGTCATTTTCAAAATTATTTCTCTTTCACTCTTAACTTTCTACTCTACAATTATTTGTATATGTATAATTATTTTTCTTCGATTCAAATTCAAAATAATATAATTAAATTATTATATTAGGTTAACAACATGACTCCATGATCTTCTTCTCATTTTGTGGCGATTTCACAGAAGAGTCCGAGAATATCTACCTGGTAGGTATTCTCGGGAAGAGTGTTGTTATTCAAGAGAACCATCTCCGCAAGGTGACACCACAGCTTAGCTGTGGTGACACTGCATATATATTTGTTCGTTTGTGAATACGGTGTCTTATGTTTTCCTCAGGCATGATGTTCGAATTACATTACATATATGTCTTCCACTCCGTGGCAATCTCAGAGTAATAAAAGACAATAGAGAGGCCTTTTCCATCCGTACATTGAAGGCAGCATAACTTTGTTTACGGGAAGTAAGTTGGACCATAAAACAGTGGCGGTTGGTTTAGTTGATGATCGGAGGAATAATATATAAAATAAATCATTTCAGGTGAAAATGTATTCTGTTCAAATAGTTCCTACACGAAATCTGATTTTTTATTAATGATTATGAAAATGAGGCCAGTTTTTCTACCACCTCCACTAGATTTTTATTTATGTATGGCTTTATAATAAAGCACTTGGTTTACGGGGTTAAAATTGAATTATTTCAAATGAATTAATCCATAACAATGATAAATGTTGATTTCAAAAGTAAT